CCCCACATACACACACACACACACTCCCCCCCACATACACACACACATACACACACACACAGTCCCACACACTAAAGGAATAAATGAAAACTTTTGAAAAGTCAAAGATACCAAGCTCCAAATAGGATGGACCAATGAGCCTCCAGTGAGTCATGCACATGAAATACCTGGCCGATGACTGGCTCGTGATAAGCTCTTGAACATGTCAGCTACTGGCGCTTTTCTTAATCATCACTGTTATTACTATCATTGTCCTCATCACCATCCTGGTCCTCAGCATCACCACCACCATCATTATCATCATCATTGTTACTGAGGTTGTCACCAACATCATCATGGCCATTACCAAGATCATTGTTATCATCATCTATTTTTGATGGAACCCTAGAGAGAAAGGACTGACATTTTATTTCAGAACACTTGCCTTTCTTTTTGGTACCAAATGACATTGCTGGAGTCTGCTTCTCTCCCAAGTGTTCTTCTTGTTCGTTGGGCAGTCCCTTGGGGAAACTGGATTCTATGCCCTATTTTTTTTTTTAATTAAATACATTGTCTAGCCACTTGCCCTGCACTTCTATGGCTTCCATGATATTCCTACAATGAATACTAATTTGGTCAATGGGATTCTTGGTTTTTCTCAGTGTATGGGCCAGACTCTTCTTGAACTTATCACCCTTCTGTGTCCCCCCTCCTGAATGCTGGGGCAGCAGAGAAGTGCCTAATTCTAGTGGGGCTTTTGATCTGGTGAATTACAGTTCCAGTTGAGGAAGTTGAGGATTTTAGAATATTTCCTTCTTGCCTTTGTGCATGGTGGCTGAGCAGCCACACTGCCTCCTGAGACCACTGAATTTCCATTAGCAATCATGAGGTCTTGTGTATTTCTTATTAAGTACATATCTCTTCTGGTAATAAGTGAGTGTCACCTTAATTGTCTATATGAAGTATTTATTGGACACCAAGTCTGGGTCAAGCATTGTATTGTTCTGGGACATGCAATGACCATGACCTACATTATGGTGAGCAATTAGACATTATCTCCCAAAGTGGCACATATACCATCTAAGGTCATTTCAGGACTACATGTAGAGATGAATAACTTTTATTTTAATCACCGTGTCAATACCATGTCTGCTCTAGTGACAAAGCCTTTGATTTCAAAGATGTTTTCCTTTGAACATGATTCAAATATAAATATGTATTCCTATGGTAATCTACCTTAACTGAGTGAGTCACATGAAGTTTAGGGATATATTCACTTTATACTTAAGAGATGGCAGAAATTGTGATATTAGTACCAAATTCCTGAAGTCCAGTCCTGGGAGTGTGGCTCTGTGATAGGGCATGAGGCCCTGGGTCCCATCTGCTGCATATACATTAAATTAATTAATGAAGTAACAGAGAAAATTCTTTAATGAGAGTCACAGTTTCCAGCAAGATTTACTGAAAAAAATGTCAGCAAATATTTTGTACTCTTTTTCTTGATCCTGTAAATTACTGGTATGTCTTGCTATCTCTAAGGTAGCATGGAAGGAATAGCTCTAGGCTGGGCTGGGGGAAGAGAAGCTGTGGCTTCTATCACTAGTTCCCCTGCCTGATTTTGAAGGGGTCCCTTCCTGTCTTAAACCTTCACCTGACACCTGGTGTGTCCAGTTCCTCCCTCATTAGAGAGTGGGGTGAAATGTGGGAAACCTATGCATTTGAAAACGAAAGCCCAAGTGGAAGTGTATCAGGGCTTGCGCGCGCGCGTGTGCGCGCACGCACACACACACACACACACACACACACACACACACACATCCCTGTGTTACTTGTCTTTGTGGTTGCTAAGGAAAGTTATTGTTGAGTTTTCTTCTCTGTTTGCTTGACATATGTCACCTGCCTCTTGCTTTATCTCAGGCCGAGGAAAAGAAAGTTTCAGAGAAGACCCTTCAGACCCCACTGCTGCCTTCACCTGTGGCAGATCACGTGAAGTGTAACATTTTGAAAGCACAGCTGGAGAATGCTTCTCGTGTGAATGCCCAGGTACGTGGCGGTGAATGCTTCTTCAATTTCACATTACAGGATTTCCTCAGTGCCACACAGGGGCACAATGACACAGAACCAGTCAAGGTCTAGTAGGGAAATAGGAGCCACTTCTTAGCATAGGAGCCTGGATGTTGTGTTGTTGTAGTTACATTTATCTCTTTGTTAGGAGGGGTGCAGGGGTTCATGCAATGGAACGTTTATGGAGGACAAGGACCACTTTCAGGAGTTCTCTCTTTCCTCCATGTGGGTCCTGAGGATAGGACTCTGGTTATCAGCCTTGGTGTCAGGCACTTTTACATGCTGAGCTGTCTCATTGGCTCACGGAAGCCTGGGTTTTAATGCAAAGAATTGCTAACAGGTGTGGTTGTTATTCATGCAAGCTAATGAATGGAAAGCGGGAAAATGAGAGACAGTGGTTTTTACATGCTAGTTGCATAAGGGCCCTGAACAGAACTTCATCTCATCCCCGAGGGTTCAGGAAGTCAGTGTGGGGGCTAGTGATCTGCATGTCTAACCAGCTCCCTGAACTACTGTTTGACTCACACTACTCCAAGGGACTGGAGGTGGTAACTCCGGAAGCACATTCCATCACAAGAGCACGAGAAACAAAGATTCTGTAATTACGAACATTTGAGTGCCAGGAGGAAGAATCCCACACAGGTGAAACTTATACTCCTGAGTTCAGGTCTCCATGGCCTGCCCTTGTATCTAACTTCATGTGGCCTTGTCCCACACTTGGAGCCTGGGGTGACAGGGTCCCACACTCTAGGGAAAGGGGCAATGAGTCTTCGGATGCTGTGTCTGTGATGGGCTGGGTGACACCAGATCTCTAGGTGCTACAGTACTGTAACCTGACATAGATGCTCCTGTGGAGGAATTGGGTACCATAGTTGAAGAAGCCATGCTGGGGTAGCCCAGAAGAACATAAAACCGAGAAATTCTCCTCCTCTAGTGCCCCCTGTTGGCAAAGGAAAATTTGTTTGGGGCTTCTCATCCCAGATCCAAGAAGGAGGTGAATTTGGAGATAAGAAAGGATAGTGTAATAACTGACATAAACCCTCTGACTGGCACCATAGCACATATCACTGGCTCCGTAATGGCCATTAATTACATTCTTTCAGCCACCCTAAATGACAGTTCTAAGGCAGTGGCCCCAGTCATAGGAGGCCTCCAAGGAGAAACCCACTGGCCATCCCTGCCCTGAAAACAGTATATAATAAGCTATGGTTGGCCTGACAAGATGACTCAGTGGCTCAGTTCAATCCCTGGACCCATATGGTTGAAAACCTCTTTATAGGCTATGAAACATGTACGATTCTGTTTGCCTGGTGACAGGAGAAAATAGCATACACAGAGATGACAGTGGGAGAGCAGGTAAGACAATCAGATGCGACTAACAAGATAGCTGGTAATATCTTCATTCTCTGTCTACATACATAACAATCTGTATGATTTAAATCCTCCCAGAAGAAACAAGAGCAAACTTACAGGGTTTCTTCTGTTGGGAGGCTGTGATGGGAACAGGAAGTACGGACTATGTATTGGAAAGCCAGGTGATCTGGTTCTGCGTTCTCAACCTTCCTAATGCTATGACCCTTTAATACAATTCTCCTGTTGGGGTCACTCCCAACCATAAAATTATTTTATTACTACTTCATAACTGTAATTTTGCTACTCTTATGAATTGCAGTTTAAATGTCTGAGATACAGGATAACCGATCTGTGACCTCTGTGGAAGGGTCATTTAACCTCCAAGGGGGGAGGGGGTGCAACCCACAGGCTGAGAACCACTTGCTCTGTTTGAGTCCTGATCTATGTCTTAGTAATGTCATCTTAAACTTGTCTATTAACTTCCCTGGGCCTCAGCTGTTTTGTACGTAACGTGGGATCAGCTGAGTCTGGTGGTACACACCTGTAGTCTCAGGCACTTGGGAAACTGATACAGGAAAGTCTTTTAGGGTCTAGAGCTAGAGACCAGCCTGAGATAACATAATAAGGGCTGAAGAGACATCTCAGAGATTAAAAGCATTTTCTTTTCAAGCTTGAGGATTGGAATTTGGATCCCAGCATGCTTATACAAGCCAGGTGTGATCCCATCCCTGCCTGTCACCTCAGCGCTTATTGGGGTGGAGGCAGAAGGATTGCTTGGGCTGGCTAGGACCAGCCTTGTTGAAAAGCCGCTAGCTCTAGGTTCAGCAAGAGACCCTCAAAGGCAGACAGTAATTAAGGAGGACACTTGACTCCTTTCTCTAGCCCTGCATACCTGAACACACTTATACACATACATCACAAACCCATGCACAAGACACACTCGCAAATTAAAGAAACCCAACAAAACAAAACAAAACAAAACAAATTAAAAGTCACCTCCCTAGATAACTGTTAAGATTAATGAATAGCACAGAGAACCTGACTAGTGTCTCATATTACCTCAAGACATACTGGTAGGAACAATCATGGATAAAGGTTAGGGAATTGTTGGGGACACTGAATGCTCTGGGTGATGGCAGTGACACTTTTTACAGGACAGTCAGGTTGATGCCTCACCTCAAACTGAGTGATTTCAGAGCTGGCAGGGTGGTTCAAAGGATAAAGGCACTGGGTGCTAACCTTGATGACCTGAGTTCCATCCCTAGCAACTACATGGTGGAAGGGGAGGACCCCAAGTTGTCCTTTGGCCTCCATGTGCATACTGGGCAAATGCACACACAAGCACACACACACACACACACAAGTGTAATAAACAAATAACAAACCTCAGCTATCTCAAATTACAGTGGCATCTGATTGTCTTACCTGCTCTCCCACTGTCATCTCTGTGTATGCTATTTTCTCCTATCACCAAGCAAACAAAACTATATATATTTCATAGCCTATAAAGTTGATGTTTTGCATTTTGGGAAGGTCTGCCACGTTCCCAGGGGTTTTGTGCTGCACAGAGCCTCTGTAGAGGACCCAGGTTTCTACTACAGTGAAGATATACCGTGTGTCAAAAATAATTCATTTTGGAAAGTGTGGAAAAGGAGGAGATATGGACCCAAAGAAAAGAAAAATATACTGGCTCAGACAGATAAAGAGGAAGGGCCTGGAAGTAGTGGAAGAGAAGAGAGGAAGGCATGAGATCAGTAAAGCCAGGAATGCTAGCCCATCAGCGTGCTCACCCACCCCTGTAGAAAGGATGCAACCACCCACCCACCCACCCACCCTCCAAAGCAGCATATTAGCCTTGAATAGATCTCGAGAAGTCCTCAAGGAGACCTGCTCAATTTTCCTTCCCTCTAATGGCACAGGCCACTTTGTAAATGGCTCCCACTCTCCTCCACAGAACTAGTGCTCTCAGGAACTAGTGTAGGAATCCTTGGGTTAGTGCAGCCTGAGGGTTTGTGGTGGAGAGCTGCTGTACGCAGCCCAGCACCCTGCCAGGAGCTAAGCACCAGTTCCCTACGGGGGTCAGTGCAGAGCACAGGTGTATGGAAAGGAAGCCAGAGGTGCTGTCTTATTGCTGACTGTAGAAAAGACTCTGACAGGAGCCGGGGCTAGATCCATGTGTGGACTACGGTGTCCTCTCCCCCTCCCCCCAGTCTCCATGACATTACTGAACGTCCATGCAGAGCAGAGGCTAAACAGGATGGCTGTGGGTGGGGCATCTCCCCCACTGACTGCCTGTGTATATGCTATTTGGCTTGCTGTGTGGGTGTCCTTTCCTCCCTTGTCATTCTCAGGGACTCACCAGAGGGAGGAAGACAAGACTTGTATTAAAATCAAATGACATCATTCCTTCCGGTATTGCTCCTCAGATGTACAAGATTTCAAGTTCTTTTAAAGCTGTAACTGTAAATGCTACACATTCCTGTAGCCCATTCTTGTTCTTGATACATAGAGTGCCGGAAAGGATTGAGCTGCGGGGTTGCTTTTCCCACACGTTCCCGTTCTCAATCAGGCAGGAACACATAGCAAGTGCTCAATAAAAGTATGAATGCAAGCATTGATTGAGCGTTCAGTTTTCACACCTTAAGCCTCAGTAGCAGGAATGACTCAAGAAAACTCTTTGTCGTTGTTGTTTGCTGTGAAAACAGAATAACTTCGTGATTGACTAAACCACCTGATGAATTATTTCTGTGGTCCTTCCTATCGCTTCAGTGCAGAAGAGCTGAGAGCGTTTTTTTACATGCCGGGCTGTTTACATTTGACTAACCTGTTTTCTTTAACAGATTGGAAAAGAGGAGCCCCCATTTGTAAATGTCAACAAGAAATCGAGTCTCCAGGACACTAATGTCAGGTTCGTTGCTTCTTGTTTGAGTTGGGAAATGATACTGTGTGATCTGCATTCTGTAGGAAGTATTGCTCCCAGGGAGGAGGGGCCGGTAGACGTGGTGGTGGGTAGACCCAGGTGAAAGAAACAGAGAGGAAAAACAAAACAGAGAAAATAGGGGCCCAAAGAAGCCAGTTCATAGACTTCCTATTGCTTATTCTTAGTTTAACATTGCTGCCCACTGAGCTAGCAGAGAACACAGCTTCCTTGAGTGGTTTCTGAAGCATATAGAGCTGACCTTGACATCCTCCAGGAAAGACCCTCCAACCTCTGTCCCCAGAGTGGCGTCATTGTTGATAATACAGGAAAAAGGACTTTTCACAGCCTGGCTTCTTCTCGCTGCTCCTCCTTGGGTTCTCATTTCTGAGCTTTGTTAGAACTGGAATCACCTGGGTGCATTGACCCTCTCAGCCACTATCTCCACACCCCATGTTCAAGGGGGAATCCCACCTCAGCCCAGGTGACTGACAACATGTCTTAGTGCCATCTCGGTGCTCTACCATCACCTACTCCTCAGAGTGCTTTCCTCAAGTGTACAACCGACCCTCTTATTGGAAATCCCAGGTCCTGGCTGGGGAGGTTAACTCAGGAGTAGAAGCCTGCCTAGCATGCTCCAGGCCCTGGGTTTGATCCCCAATCACGCAAACCAGATGAATAAAACTAGACCTCTGAGTCCCACCTCAGTCCTTGAGATCCTGTGTGTGGGTGGGTGTGAGTGGGAATAGAAGGGGGCAGAAAAAAGCATCTTAGTGAATGCCTGGGTGTCCTAGGGAATCGTTATACTCAATGCTCAAAGCAAAGGCTAGCATCACTCTGTATTGTCTTAATGACAGTCTGTCTGGGGCCCTCCTGGACTTTACAGGACTTAATTCAGGCTGGGGTCCAGCTCAGTTGGAGAGTTCTTTTCTAACATATACAAGGGCCCAAGTTCCATCCCCAGCTCTGGAAAAAAACAAAACAAACTAACAGAAAGCTCCTTTCCACTCTGCCCGCCCTCCTTCCTCCATCTGCCAGTCCAGTCTTGGAGAACAACATTATTCTCTGTTTCCTCCCCAAGCTTGAAACTCAGGAGTCCCTGTTCCCACCCACCCACCACATCCCCCCACCTAATTGGTCATCAGGACACATCAATTTGAATTTCGTATTATCTCAAGAAAATCCATTCAGGACCTTAATCCCAGCCCTTCTGGCCCGTCCTTGTCTCTTATTCTGGATCATTAATACTCTGGTTCTCCAACCAATACACTCTTCCTGGCTCTGAGGACCTCTCTGCAATGCAAACCCAGCAGTGCCTCTCCCCAGACTAAAACCTTTAGTGACTGTCACTGCCTTTGGAGTAAACTCAGCCCGAGGTCCCTCCTGACAGGATACTCCCTACCTCTTGCCCTTCTGCTGGGGCCCCTTCAGTGTCAGGGTGGTGGGGATGGTACCCTGCATTTATCTAGGCCTCTGCTGTCTCCCATTGGTGGTCTTCCTTTCATGAGATAGAGAACTCAAGAGATTAGGGACCATGTAGAGCTACCCTGGGGTTCTGGCCTGAGGGAACCATGAATCCAACATGTTGACTGAAATTCCTTATTCATTCTTTTCTGTGTCCATTCAACAAGCATTTACTAGGGACCAACTACACACTCTTCACATAATAGAAGAGAAAATGGAAGTGCAGAAAAGCATCTGGTAATCTGTAAGGGTCCCTTGCTCAGGGCCTCAACTGGTCTCAAGGTCTCTTTGGTGTAGTAGTTACTGATTTTTTTAAATATGAAATTAGTCATGACCATAAAAATAGATTAAAGATGTTTCTTAAAGTCGCTGTTTTGGGGCTGGTGAGATGGCTTAAGTGAGCCCCACCCTCAGGGGTGAGGACCTCAGTTTAGATCTCAGATGCATAGTGCAGAAGAACTGACTCCTGCATGCCATTTGCTCTCCAGCCTCTGGACACACACACACAGAATAAATAAAAAGATGATCATTAAAACAATCAGTTTTAAATAAAGCCATTGGATTGCCATAAATGATTGAGGAAAAATGAAAGTGAATTTAATATATTTTTGTAAAGAAAGCAGATAAACAAAATGGTTGGGTTATATAGGAAAAGGCAGTCCAGCCCCCTGGGCTGGAGAATTCAAGATAGAGGGTGTTGTGTGCCAGCTATACCCTGTAACAGGGTCTGGGGATCCTCAAAGAACCTGGCAGCCAGGTCTCCTTTGATATGTTAAATAGGCACCTCTGTCCCAGGTTTGAATCCTAACATTTTTACTTTTATTTATGTGTGTGTGTACACCTGTGTATAGGTGCCCCGAGAGGCTAGAAGAGGGCATCAGATCCCCTGGAGGCATTATTGATAGTCTTAAGACATCTAGAATGGGTGCTGGGACTCGAACTCAGGCCTTTGGAAGAGCAGCAAGCACTCTTAACCACTGAGCCATGTCTCTCTCTTTAAAAACATCTCATATACATAGTATTAGAATATTTTAGAGAGAGTTCTAAAGTTCTTTTGATTATACATTTTCACTATATATATACACACACATACATATATATAAAATCTCAGTATATATGTATATATATATAGTATATATAAAACATATATATGCTGTTTTATTTATAGTATATAGCTTCACTATATACTGTAGTTACAGCCATTGTTAGCTACCAAGTTATTGGGAACTAAAGCTGGGTTGCTTATGGGTTTTTCTTCATTTCACAGCAAGACCTAGCTATGAACCAAACCCTCGTACTAAGGTAGGGAGCTTCTGAGGCAAGGCAGTTTTATTTGGTACCTTGCCTGGTTATATTTGGTTCCCTACTCTATTCTGGTCTCTATAATGTTTGCTTGTTTATTTGATTTTGAACTTTTCTGCATTCATAATATAATTTCAGTTATTAAGTTAAACAGTAAGCCAAGAGCAGTCAGATTTCTTGACCACCAGAATCAGTAAGCTGTATATTACCTGAGAAGCCTAATACAAGAATATTAACACTTTAAACATTTTTTTCCTATGTCTCTAGAAGCCCCATTCCTATCCGTGTGGAAACTGCCCAGCCAGCTGTGGAGAAGCCGGAAATCAAGCCTCCCCGAGTGAGGAGGTTAACAAGACAGTATAGTTTGTGAGTTCTGCGCCTGTCTACCCCCTACATGAGAACATTTAGTTATAAACTCATTAGCCCTGCCCCAGGCACCTTCTCTGATGGCCATCCCCCAAACTCCATTCAATTCCCATTCTGGTAACACAGTGGGGATATTTGTCCTCATCGACTGTGGTATAGTAAACTGTTTCCAGCATTCTGTGCCTGCCACCTCGAAGTTACTGAGGATCAGGAGTCTGGTACAACCTCTCTGAGCTTCTCTGTTGGGTCTCAAAAAGCTACAGATTATCCCATTAGGGCCTTGGTCACACGGTTGCTATCAAAATCCATGGCCAAGGAGGCTGTTGGACCCGTTACCCTATGCTACTGTCTTATAAGGTTTCTCTGTCAGGGAGCATGAGAGGCAAGACGAAAGTTGGTCTTGTATAGCTTCACACAGAAAAGACATCCTATTGTTTTTGCCATATTCCATTCCAAACAATGGAAACACATTGCTAGGCCCAGTTCACACTCTATAGAGGAGGATTACATGGGTGGATGATTGCTAAGACAGGCGCCCCCCAGAGGCCATAAGAGACGCCGCCTCCACACCCCATGGCATGATGGTAAAGTGTTCAGCAGGGTCAGTCAGCAGAGCCAGAGGGGCAGCATGGAGCTGTGGATGATGTCAGGACCCACCCAGTTGTTTTTCCACTTAGTTCAACAAAACTCTCTTGGCTATGATTCCAGGCATTGTCAGGTATTGGCAAAGTGACTTTGACAATTCCCATCTGTCATCTCAACTTGTAGTCTCGTAAAGTGCTGGAGGCAAAGACAGAGTTGTAAACAACAGCCCAAACTAGACAGCTGAGGAAGACAGTAGGAAGGGCACGTGGGCACAGCCATGGGTTGGAGGACTGGCTGAAATGGAGGCCCCTTTTGTGGCCCCGGCTGTGCCTCAGGCACTATGCCTGGATGTGAAGTTGGTCAGAGAACTGCAGGGGAATCTCTGGGCACAATGGAAACTGAGAAGTCTGGGGTTCTGGTCTCTCCATTTCTCTCTGTCTCTCTCTGTCTCTCTCTTTCTCTCTCTTTCCCTCTCTCTCTCTCTCTCTCTCTCTCTCTCTCTCTCTCTCTCTCTCTGTCTCTGTGTGTTTGTGTGTGTGTGTGTGTGTGTGTGTGTGTGTGTTCATGTGTGTGTGCACATTTAGAGGATGGGAATTGATATCAGGAATTCACCTTATTCACTCTCAAATAAACCTGAAGCTCACTCACATGGCTAGTCACTAAGCAGCGTGCTCTAGCCCCTGTCTATGCTTCTGGAGGAGGGAATTACAGGCAGGGCACTGGGCCCATCAATCATTTCTGTGAGTTTCTGGGGATCCAAACTCTGGTCCTCAGGCTTGTACTGCAAATGCTTCAACTCCCGAGCGATCCCTTCAGTACCTTTTCTTGTCTTTCTGTTCTTTCCTTTCCTTCCTTTCTTTGGAAGTATTGGTGGCCTCACCAAAGCAAGTGCTGTACCACTCAGCTCCGTCTCATCCAGTCTTCATGTTCTGTTTTGAGACAAGGTCTCCCTGTGTTGCCCAGACAAATTTTGAATGTCTGATCTTCTTGCTTCAGCCCAAAGAATGATTGAGATTTCAGGTCTGTGACATCAGGCCTGGCTTCAGGTGCTTTTCTTTCATCTGTAAAGCGAGCTAGTAGCCCTCTAAAGGATTGTTTTTTGAGACAGGCTTTCACTGTGTAGCCCTGGCTGTCCTGAAGCTCACTCTGCAGACCAGCCTGAATTCACAGAGATCTGCCTGCTTCTGCCTCCCAAGTGCTGGGATTAAAGGATACCAACTCCTGGCTCTAAAGAGTTTTTTTGCAAGGGTCTGGCCCAAAGGTTGTGTTTCTGAAAAGAAAAAAAAGTGTAGGATTCAGGATGCAAAGTAAATGTTGGGGTGCAGTGCCAGAGGCAATCCCCAAACAGCCAGCACAGATGTGCTATTATCTCCTCTGTGAAGGTGAAGGAAGGTGAAGGAAGACACACACATGTTCAAGGGGTCCTGAGAGCAGGCACAAGTCACCCCGATGGGAACCTTGGGGTGTGTGTATAGCACCAGTATGTCTAGGAAAGCCAGAATGGCTTGGACTCAGATAATTAACAACTCTAAGAATCTCTGGGGAACAAATTAAACCATGAAAATCTCTCCCTATCCCTCCAGGATAAGGCTGCTAGGGTTTCTTTTCATTTCAAAATTCAAAACATTATTGTCACCCATTTGGGATAGGTAATCCTATTAAATAATGACTAACTGCAGGAAAGGAAACAAATGGGCTCGTTTTTTTTTTTAAAGTCCTCTTACTTATGTATTACTGCAGTCAGCAAAAGAGTTTTAAGGCAAAGTTCTCCACAAAAACTTGTTAATGTGTCCTGTAAGCCAGATGTGGTGGCAAACGCCTGCAATCTCAGTACTTGGCAGGCAACAGCTGGAGGATCAGGAGATTGTAGCTAGTCTGGGCTATATCCATAAAACAACATTTTATGAATTCATCATGAATTACCTCAGAAACTGAAGTAAAGCTGGAGACTTACTGAATTTTAAATGTTTCCTTACTATAAGGTATAAGTTAAGACAAAAGATTTTAAAATATATATATATTTAAAGTAGATATATATTTAATATGTATTAATATTTATAATATATAGATATTTAATGTTAAATATATATATGGCTGGAGAGATAGCTCAGTGGTTGAAAGCATTTGCTACTTTTTCAGAGGACACTCCTGTGCTCTCATTCCGGAGGCTTACAACTATCTGTATTCAGTGGTGCCCTCTACTGGCTTCTGAGGGCATCTGTAACCACATGGCATGTACATACACACAGAAAGAGAAATTAAAAAAAATAAAAATAAAAATCAATCTTTTAGAAAATAGAATTTGGAGCTTTTCCTATTTTTAGACACTCTGGGTTGACTTCCTATTGTAAGAAATTGTCTATGGTTTTTTTAAAACGGTCTTTTTATGTAAAACAAATAGTGACTCTGCTTTTAGGGTTAAAGTGTTTTTTACATAAGGATTAAAAAAATATTCACCTTACTCTTCTGCGTCACTCACCGTGTGACTAACTTTTTAAAAAGTAAAGTGAAAACCAGGCTGGGCAGATGTCTTGGAAGTTCAGAGTTCATACTGTTCTTGCAGAGGACTGGAGTTGGGGTCCCAGCATCCATATCGTGTAGCTCACCACTGCCTGTGGCTCCAGCTGTGGGGACCCGTACTTCTGGCCTCTGAGAGTACACATGCACATTTACACACGTATACACATAAATACACATATACACACGTATACACATAAATACACATATACACATAAATACACATATACACACGTATGCACATAAATACGCATATACACACGTATGCACATAAATACGCATATACACACGCACGCACATAAATACGCATATACACACGCACGCACATAAATACGCGTATACACACGCACGCACAT